GATAATCAGATGCTCTCAGGCTTTCTCCTTAGGGTCTGGGTCTGCCCAGGATAGATTTTGGCCTCAGGAATTGGGGGTTGGACTGGCCTGGGAGCCGGGCCCAGGAAAGATGCTACTCTAAGGCAGCTGCTGGCCATGACATCCAGAGATGCAAAGGAAGATGGAGGTGGGAGTTGGCTCCAAGAGCCCCTGGGGACCAAACTGAGGAGCTGGGTTGGTCCAGGCAAGAGAGGCCTGTGGGTTTGAGAGAGCTCGCTGAGGTGTTTTGAAAATAATCATACTGAAAGATTCTGGACATATTAGATATTTATGATTCAACTAATTTCTGTTACATACTTTATTTGTTGCGATAATTATACTAAAATAAACGTAATTCTGTCTTTAGCCACTGACTCATCACATGCTTCTGGCCATGGTGGTGCAAAATGGTGGTCTAATAGAGCAGCTCATAAGTTCAGAAAAGAGACCACGTTCTCCCTTATGGAGCTGTTGAAGCCTGAGTAGTCCTAGATGCTACTTCTATAGCTGGGAAAGGAAGCTAAAGGAAGGGTTAGGTGAAGAATGGCACAGATGAGAAAACTCAGATAAATGGCATTCAAGTCCTGATGAAATACAGTGCAAAGGCAATTCCACTGCTATAGTTTTCAGATATTTGATCTACCAAACACCTTTACATTTTTAAGGTCCCTCTCAGTAGTGAACCATGTATTAGAGTATGTAGTGTTTGAAGGTCTGTGTCTTGGTTATTTTACTTAATATAATGTTCTGCAGGTTCATCTCTGTGAAAATAGATGGTAGGATTTTCTTGTGGCTACAGAGAATAAGCTTTCTTGCTTAAGGCTGAATATTAGACTATAGTGAACATACCATATAGGGAAAATCTAGGGTTCTTACATGGGACTGGATTTCAGTTCTTAGCATCCACATTGGGTAGCTTACAACCAACCATCTTTAATTCCAGTTCCAGGAGATCTGATGCCCTCTTCTGGGCTCTACCAGAACCTGCACTCACATTTGTACCCCCCCCCACACACAATTAAAAATAAAAAAATAAATCTTTGAAAAAAAGAAAATTCCATTCATCCATATCTCGGCATACTGATTTTTTTTCCTTTAGGTGTTTGTTCCTCAACAGGATTGTTGTATCATAAGTTAGTTCTATCACTAATTTTTAAAGGATGCTCCATATTGTTTTGCATAATTGTTGTGCAATTACCTTCCCATCAGTTGTATATAAGGATTCCCTTTTTTTCTGCATCCTCCTCAGCATTTATCTTTCACCTTTTGGATAACAGCTGATCCAAAGGCATGAGGAAATACTACCTTATGGTTTTATTTTCTATATTCCTGATAATTAGATATGTTAAACCTTTTCCTTCAAATGCACCAATGGACATTCATTATCCTTTGAAAGAAGTCTGTTTACCTCTTTAGCTGTTTTTAATTGGGTAAAGTATTTTTCCCTTAATGAATTGCTTGATTTTCAATATATGTATATTAACCCCTTTACCTCATATAGGATTTGTAAGTATTTTCTTCTATTCTGGAGATTGCCTTTCCATTTATTTAATTGCTGCATATTTTTCAGACACGTTTTAATATTCTGCATCCTCATATTTCTCTGTTTTGATTTGCTGCCTATGCTTTTGGAATCACATCCAAAAACATGCATTTCCAAAACCAATATATCATGGAGTTTTCAAGTATGATTTATTTTAGTTTCAGGTAATACAGTCAAGCCTTTAATATATTTGGAGGTAATTTTTTTATTTTAGTCTACCTATTCAAAAAACTTTATTTCGTGGGGGGGCGTCTATGTGTCTGGTAAAGGATGAATAAGTTTGATGACACAGGCTGCAGTGACTGATTTGATACTCAGTGGGCCTTGAGCCAGTGTCTGTGAGGCCTGTCCTGGTGGCTGAGTATACATGTATGGCTTAGAATCTAAGACTGCAGGGCCAAGACTAAAGATGGGTGAGCCTTTGAAATGAGACTGTGAAATTTGCAGGAGTCTAGATTTATTGATAATAAGCACATCCTAATATCATAAATCATGAGAGTCAACCTACAGCTGGAGCCCTTGGGGCTTCGTGGAACATAGGGCCATCAGAGCTGTCACTACATTGAGAGTAGACCCTGAAGGCTCACTCCAGGGGTGCCAATTGGAGGAACCACAAGCACCTGCACAGTACAGGATTTAACTGGGAACACCTGCTGTTATGATCACCAGTAGATTTGGATGGTTATTTCATCCTCATTATAGCAAGGAGCAGATATGCACTTCTGTACTGTGCTGCTTGTGATTAGGGAATGAGTAACACAGAGATGAAACTGTTCTCCCTATGTTCTTTGTATATCTATTCTTATTTCTTGCTATATCAAGAAACTAAAATTTCTTTCCTGAATCCTTAGATACTTTTGTGATAATATAGCTGTAAAAATTGCCATCTCTGAGAGAACACAGGTGACAAAAGGTCTATTCAGTCATGCTGAATGTATAAATCCTCAAGAAATATATAATAAACAGCATCAAATTTTCTTTCATGGTTGTCTTATGCCTCTAGTACCATGAACCAAGGGAGTGTTTGGGAGTGCATGGGAGGGCGGCATCTTCATCCATCCACAACACAATACTCCAGAGCAGGATCCACACTTATTATAGAATATCACGAGGTATGCATGAGACTGCAGTGAACATCGAGAGAGGCCAACTTCTATCTCCAACCACTCTCTTCCCTTCCACAGAGACCTTTTGTAGAATACAAAAGTATAAAGTCAAGTTTTATTATTGATCTCTGAGATCTCCAGTTATGAATTATACAGAATATCTTGGAATCAGAATAAAGAGGTGCAAGAAGATGCAATAGCAGAAAAGTAGGTCTGGGGTGCAGAGACCATGGTCTTCCCAACTGAATCTTTGCATTTCATTCCTTATCTGTGACAACCTCCCTTCATGATAAACTTGGGTGTTGACTCTCTGCCTACCTAGAACTTGAACTTGCAGACATAGGGGAGCTCCATGTCACAGTAGCAATCTTTCCATTTCAAAACTCCTGGTAAAAAGAGATGAGATAAAGTAGACCCTGTGAATACCATGAAATGGCATCTCAAAATGTAGTCTTGTCTCTGAAGCCTTTCCCTCATCTTCACCAGTGTCACAGTCCAGGGGAATGGACACAAAGGAGACATGAAAAATTGGAGAAGACAAATCCATGTTGTACGTCCTGGGAGATACCCAGGGGAGATACCCAGAAGTTCAAGGCCAGTGAGAAAAGAGTGAGAAAGGTTGGGAAGATATGTTTCATACCTGAAGTTTTTATCAGACTTCCACAGTGACCTAAGGCAGAGGAAGAATTCCCATCCCAGTTAAAGTAATTCAGCATATCAGAGTTACTCCTTTCCCATCCAGCTCCATTAGGTTCTTGATTCTACATAGCAGAAGTGTACATTAGATCTCTGCTCACATGAACCCTTAGATGGAACACCTAATTCCTCCACCCATACCAATGGAATTTGATCTATTCCACCATGTTGATCAGAAGTGAGGTCTTCCCATGTGGATGTTCTCCCTTCTTTCTCCTTCAGGCATATCCTTGCCAATAATCACATGAACTATGAGCCACACCAATGTATTACTTGTTGCATAGTGAATGCTGGTATATTTCAGACAAGCCTCTGAATAGCAAAGAAAATATCTAGTCTATGGAAAACAAATATGGATCTTATCTTAGTTCATAATGCTCCCAAATATTATGTGAAGATTCACTGAATCAAAGAACTCACCAATAGGCTTTCTATTAGAATAATGCAAAACCTGACAATGAGCAAAGAAATTAAACCAGAACCTCAACAAAACTCAGTTCTTCATGCTGACCTTGAGGACCTCATTGCAACCATGACACCCAGCATCTGAGCCCCTGTGGGAGACAGGCTTGAGCCTAGGGTGAAAATCTTATTGGCAGGCCCGAGGCAATGGCCTGACTGCTGGAGCCACAATGAATGCCTTGTGACATTTGCTCCCATTGGCAGATCATGAGACTGATGCCTAGAGCTCACCACTCCCTAATCACCACCCTTGGAATCCAAAATTGCAACCCTTAGATATTGCAACAGTCAGGGTCATGTGGTTTCCAGGAATCCAGGCTCTGTAATCTGAAACCCAGTATGCTAATGAGGCATCCTACATGCTATTCTGTGATAGGATGTTGTCTGTTATGCTAATAGTACGCTAAGACTGTCATGCTGATAAGGTATCCTACTTGCTGTACTGTGATAGGATGCTAAACCTGTTATGCTAATGAGGTATCCTACTTGCTGTGCTGTGATTAGACCACTATCCATATATAAGCTTGTCCCTTCCTGCAATAAAGCAGACCTGTGTCACTGAACCTGGTCTCCTGGGTCTGAATGTGGCTCCGCTGACACAGTCTCCTCACCAGCCCTGGGGTCCAAGTCTGGGACTGGGCAGAAGCAGCTATGGCAGGAGGCAGCACAGGGCAAGCAGAAGAGCTGCCTCAGCACCAGGAGAGCAGAAGAGTGGCCTCAGCCCAGGGCAGGCAGAAAGAAGAGCAGCCTCAGCCCAGAGGAGCAGTCTTGACGTCCATGAGAACGAACAAGTGGCACCCATGAGAATGGAGGAGTGGCTGCTGATGGCGGTGACCACAAGCCCCAAGTTCTCATCACTTTATACCTGGGAAGAGGTACAGGAGACAATAGCCACTTGAGCGGAAACAAAAGATGGAATCTCACCAGTGTGGGATCATGGAGCCCAATCCAAACATACTGGTAGTTGTTCACTCTGCTGTTCACCAGGGATGACAGGAAGGAAGCCTCAGCTCCACTGAGCACAGACACCAGGTATCCAGAGAGCCACTTCTGGCAGGCCAACTGTGTAAGGGACAGAATGAGAGGAAGGCTAATCCCTTATGGGTGAATGACACAGCAGGTATATTTGGGTGAGATGATTATGTGAGCAACGGAGAGTTCACTTTGACTCCCATGGAACCATGGAAATTTCTTATCCTGTTACCTAAGTACACTTTCCATTATATCTCCCACCACCCAATCTTTTACCATTCACATCTGCATTAAACCAGGATTTCGGTGTCATTAACAAGGCATAGCAATGGGAGTGAAAGGCCTGGGAGCCCATGGGATGGCTGATATGTGGAGAGGAAGTTTCCTTCTGGGTATCTTCACCTGGAGTAGAGGGAGATAAAGATGGTTATGGCATGAGATGAAGAGTGGGAGTGGCATATGATCAACTTAGACAATGTTTACGAAGCCATTTTTTTTTTGGAATGGTGGATTTAATCATTACTAGTTCTCTCAACTTTTCCCTCACTCTCAAAGTCTTCATTTCTAGAGGCTGACAATGTGGAAGAGCATGCATTTTCATTTTATCCTTCATAGATGTGTCATTGTCTATGACTCTCCCTTCTCTGGAATAACCACTTGTATCCTCAAATTTTTCATCTGTCTCCTTCCCTAAAATTCATTACTGACCTTCACAATTTTGTTCATCGAGTCTCAGAAAAAAATTAGAGCCTGATGACAAAGTGGGAAACCCTCTCATTTTATTGGTAGTGGCTTACTATGGTACCTCCCACCACCAATAATCTGGAAGAAGGTAGAATGATGGACGAGTTGCATGCAGTTTTCCTGTATAAGATATTCCTCCATACAACATGTCTCTGCAGCCTTCCTCTACTTCTTGGTTCTGAATTTTCACAAAGAACCCACTGCTAGAGGCAGACATATTTTACCTTGCACCCAAGATAAGAGTATCATATAGGAGAGCAGCAAACAGGACATGTAGCCTAGGGTCATGCAAGATAGCATCTTTTCTGCAAGTGAGGAGCAATCATAGCCACTTAGGGGAGTGTGGTCACAGAGGATTCAGAGACCATTCCTCCCCTTCTTTATTGACTACATGCATGGATATACTAATCTTTTTTCCAGACCTCCTTTTCTTGGTTCTGGAATTAAACAAAATATCTGTATTCTCCTCTGAGCAATCCCCACAGCCCTTGCTGATTCTCAGAGCCCTGTTTTCTGTGGGATGAAGACTATTCTGCACCTTCTTCTGCGATGTGAAACTGGAAGACTTCATCGTCTTTCAGCTCCCACTTACTGGTCTTGCAGAAATCTGTGATGGTCTGTCAGGACAGAAATGATGAAACTTTTAGCAGGATTTGTTGGGGGGCAATGAAGTGAATAATTGGAATGCCTATGTAGGTCACAGGCAGTGGGTAGTGCTTGGCATGGATTCTAGGAGATTCCCAGCAAGAACAGGAGACTTCCTGGCAAGGATGGAAATCAGCACACATGTTGTTTTCTGCAACCAACCCAGAGCTGTCCTCAGGTATGAGTGCTATTTGAGATTCTGTCATGCCATGATACTCTGTTGCTAAGCAATTTATTTGAATATAGGCATCCTCAGGGCCTCATGCTACACTTTGATGTTATACAGTGTTGTAAAACTTACAGCTTTAGAATGGTGATACAGTATCAGCAGCATACTTTTTAATCAACTAAGATTTCACTCCTTATGCATGTATTCCTTTTCTAAAGACCTGACTGGTAAAATTTAAAATATATTAATATGTCAAAGTGACGTGTTAATATTTTGAGGTACTTAATAATTGAGGGAAAACAAGTGTTTAGACCAAAGGAAGAGACAATGGTAGAGGTTTGCTCCTAAAACTCTGTGAAAAGTCTAAAGGACTCTTAAAGCAATCTTGCGAGTACTTATTCTAACCAGGACTTTAAGGAACAGCAGCTAAATAGATTTGCTTGCTAGCTATTTCTCTGTGGGAAGACAGAGACATTGTTTCCCAGTTCACTGTAATTCAGAGCTTGCAGTCCTGTACCTAAGAAAAGCACCTTCTGACTTTGATCACATGTTCATTATGGTTTCTAAGACCCCTTTAAAATAGCTGTGATAATCTAATTTTCATATTGGACAAAATGGTATTTGATATTTTTACTCTGTTGACATTTGTAGTTACAGCTCCAAAGAAATGTGGGTAAATGATCTTGTGTTTTAGCATTAATTAAGCCAGCATCCTCACCCTGTGTCCTGTAGAACCATACAATTGCAGGTAACATGATAGTATCACCTCAAAACACCTTTGAACTTGATGACTCAGAGAAGTAGTGGTTGCAGTATCAGTCTCTGTGTACATATGGTTTTAATAGTCTGCTATCAAAGTGGGAAGTCCACTTACTGAAATACTACAGTTTCAGTGACCAAAAACAAGCAATTTTATTATTGTGTTGTATATACAGGCCAGTATTGCTGATGAACATTTTATGTACATATCATATTTTTCTTTATTAACTCATCTGTTGATAGACAGCTAAGCCCATTCCCTATCTTAGATATTGTGACTAGTTCTTCAATAAACACCTCTTTTGCATATTGACTACATTTCCTTTGGATATGTATGCACATGTCATATAGCTGAATCAAATGATAGTTCTTCTGCCAGTTTATTTGAGGAATTCCATGTTTATTTCCCATAGTCACTATTATGAATTTACATTTCCACTAGCAATGTCTATGTGTTCTTTTTCTATACTCTATATTTCTGTTTTCTTTTAAAAATGTTTTTATTGAGCTTTTGTACATTTCATACAACAGTTCTTAATCAAATTAAAACCCCTCCCCCATCCATGCCCCCACACCCCCTCCCTGCCAGGCCTCATGAATTCCACCCATACATGTTAAGTACCATTAGGGTGTCCTTTGGTGCAAGTTAGTCCCAAAGTCTATTTGGCCTTTCTAGAGATCTTAAGGAAAGTCTACTCTTCCTTATCCAACTGTAATCAGTCTCCTACAGTTCTCAGGATAGGGCCGGCCCACCACCCATTTCCCTCACACCACTCTGGGCCCTTGTCTGATTGAGTTGGCATGGGTCTTATGCTCGACACCACCATTGCCACAAGTTCATATGAGCAAGCTTCCAGTGACCTGAAAGCCTCTGCTCCTCTAGTCCATGAAACAACCCTGGCTCTTACAATCCTTCCTAGCCCCGCTCTTCCAAAATGGTCCCTGAGTCGTGGATGGATGAGGTTTCATATAGGAGTACATAGTTACTCTTGTTTGACTAAGAAGAACTTCCAAGTCAATTCTTTGTATATTTCCATATAATTAAAAATATCATGAATCTTTGTTTTAATTAAATTTTTTGAGGGTTTCTGATAATGCTACATTCTGAACATACAAAAGGTACAAAATGAACTTTTTTCCAGAATATTTCAAAGGATGGTGCCAGTCTACTGTTACTGCAGGTCATTTTGTCTCTTAATTAAAGTAAGACACCAGATGTCCATAGTTTTGGCCTGGACCCTCTTTGGCAAAGAGGGTCCCTAGAGGATTCTTAGTCTCATTCATAAAAGAATTGAAGAATGGACCCAAATGGGAGAAAGCAGACAGACTTACAGAGACATACATGATTGTGGCTGGTCAGAAGTTTTCTGGAGTTCTGTGGAGAACTGCATTATAAGGCGGGATTCCAGGCAGGAAAAATTTGCTACTTAAAATGTGTTTGCTGTCCCTTGTACTTTTGCTTTAGTGAATTGTCTTTCCAGGTCATTAGAATATGGTTTGACTGGATTACATTTTATTTTATTATTGTCTTGAGCTCTTTTTATACTCAGTATCATAATCTTTTGTCAGATGACTAGGTGGCAAAGATTTTCTTCTATGCTGTAGGCTGCCTCTTTACTCTGCTGGCTACTTTATTTGTTGATAAGGAAAATTTAAATATGACAAGACCACATCCATCAATTTTTTACATTTGTTTTCTGAACTATTGGAGTCATATTCATGTAACAATTATACCAATATTTAAAATATTTCTCCTTGTTTCCCTGTAAAATCAAATGTTCAGGTTTTATAGTAAAGTTTTTGGTGCATTTTTAATTGAATTTGAAAATAGAGCCAAATTTGAATCTTCTGTAGGTGGTTATACAATTTTCTTAGGATCATTTGTATAAAAGACAATCATTTACTTAGTTTTTGATACCTATGGAGAGAATCAATTGTCTATATGTGTGGATGCATTTCTAGGTCTTTTACTTTATTCCCTTATCAATATGTCTTTTGTATGCCAGTGTCATGCTGTAGCATGTTTTGAGTCAGGTGCTCTGATAGCTCCTAGTTATCTCAATTCATCAAGGAAGTTTTTGCTAATTTTTGTTATTATTTTATGCTTCCACAAAATTTTAGTAGTGCTTTTCTTCTATAGAGTATCATGGGCATTTAGATGGGGATTGTATTAAATCTGTAGATCAGTTTGGATAGTATTTTCTCATTTTCATCTTAGTAAACTTGATTAGGTTTATGACTATGCATTTAAAAGTTTTTGTCTTTTTATTGAAATTTTGTGACTTTCATACAACATAATTTGATGATAGTTATATCTCCTCTCCTATTCACACCTCTCCTTATTGCCCCCCATCCAATTTAATGTTCTATAGTTTATATAATAAGGCCTCTCTATAAAATCTAATTTATGTCCTTCAGTGTGGGTCCATTCACTGGAGCCTGGTTGACCTGCGCAACAGTCTCATGCTTAAAAAAGACTGCCTCTGCCCCTCCCTCAGAAATTTGTTGTTTTCTTAGGTGGAATTGGAGCTTCTTACACATTTCCTCATGTCTATGCTGAGATTTTTCTGATTTGAGCTTGCATGGGACTTGTGCATGTAGTCACCATTGCTGTGAGTTCGTATGAGTAACTGACCAGTTGTGTGGAAAACTCTGTTTCTTATGGTTATCCACCACCTCTGGGTCCTATAATCTTTCTGTCCCCTCTTCCACAATGATCCCTGAGCCTTAAGAGGCAGAAATTTGATATAAGTTCAGAGATTATGACTGCATTTTTTGGGGCTTTGTGAATAGGTTGCTTTTCTTATTTTTTTCAGTGAGTTCCATTATAGACATACAGGAAAGCTACTGATTTTTGTATATTGATTTTGTATTCTGTTCTGGTTGGTTTCTCCATTGCTGTGAAAAAACACTCTGGCTACTACCAACTTGGGGAGGAAAGGGTTTATTTCATCTTACATCTCCTGAGTCACAGTTCATCAGGGAGCCGAGTGTAGGAACTCAGGGCAGGAAACTGGAGGCAGGAGCTGGAGCACAGGCCATGGAGGAGCACTGCTTACTGGCTTTCTCCCCTGGCCCCTGCTCAGCCTGCTTTCTTATGCAACACAGACCCACCTGCCCAGGGGTGGCACTACCCACAGTGGGCTGGGCTCTCCCATATCACTCATCAAGAAGATGCCCTTCAGACATGGCCACAGGCCAGTCCAATAGAGGAAATTCCCCAATTGAGGCTCCCTCAACCCAGGTGTGTCAAGTTGACACTAAAGATATCCAGCACATATTCTAACAGTTTACTTTTGGCAAGATTTTCATTTTTTATAAGCTATCACATCATCAACAAACAGGGATAATTTTATGCCTTCCTTTACTATTTGTATTCCTTTATTTTCTTTCCCTTGCCTAAAAGCTATAAATAAAATTTCTATATTGAATAAGACTCAGAAAAGGAAACTCTTGTCCTTTTTCTAATTTTAGAGGAGATACTTTTACTCATTCTCCATTTCAAATGATGTAGTCTTTGGGTTTGTAATAGATAGCCTTTATTATGCGGACACATGATCCTTATATGTGTAGTTTCTTCAGGGCTTTTATCGCTAAGGAATTTCTAATGCTACCAAAGGCCTTTCTGCATCTATTGAGATAATCATGTATTTTGTCTCTTTCATTCTCTGTATACAAAAACAAATGGTTTGCTGAATTGTGTATGTTCAGCCATTCTTGCATCCTT